AATCAAAGAAAGGCCTTTTTTTTGCTCAAACAGATTTTTTTTAGGTAAAATGAGCTAGTTTTTCTGGATCAATCTGAGGATCTCTGTGAGTTTGAATCAAAACAAAACCTTTTTTTTTTTTTACTGAAACTGAGTTTTTTGGTCAAAATGAGGCAGTTTTTTCTGACTCAAAATACATTTCTCTGACTTATATTGAGGTTTTGAGTCAAATCCAGGATGTTTTTCTTACTCAAACAGATTTTCCAACTCAAACCGAGTTTCTGAGCTTAAATGAGTTTTTCTGGATTGAACTGAGTTTCTCAGTGAGTTTGAATCAAAACAAGGCCTTTTTTTTACTCAAACTGAGTTTCAGAGCCAAAATTAGACGTTTTTTTCTGACTCAAACTGACTTTTTTCTCACTCAAACTGAGTTTTTCTGACTGAGCTTTTCTGTGAGTATGAGCCGTTTTCTTTTACTCAAACTGCGTTTCCTAGCCAAAACAAGCATGTTTTTCTGACTTGTATTTTCTGGTCAAATCGATGCACTTTTTCTTACTTAAAATGAGTTTCTCTGTGGGTTTGAGGCCATTTTCTGGATTAAACTGAGTTTCTCTGTGAGTTTGAGGCCGTTTTTCTGGATTAAACTGAGTTTTGAGCCAAATCAATCATCCTGTGGACGATCCCCGGAGCGGCTAACAGCTAGCTGTACAGATGTTGCTATACAGATGTTGCTCTACAGATGTTGCTCTACAGATTTTGCTATACAGATGTTGCTGTACAGATGTTACTGTGCACATGTTGCTCTACAGATGTTGCTCTACAGATGTTAATGTACAGATGTTGCTGTACAGATGTTGCTGTACAGATATTGCTCTACAGATGTTGCTCTACAGATGTTGCTCTACAGATGTTGCTCTACAGATGTTGCTCTACAGATGTTAGCGTGCACACCTGGATCCTGCGCAGCTGCTTGAGCGCCTCGTCGCGCCCCCTGCTGGCGGCGTCCAGTTGGTCCTCGGCGTCTTTAAGCTCCGCCTCCAGCTTCTTCCTGCCGGTGGAGGCCTGTCCGCGCTGCCGCCGCTCCTCCTCCAGCTCCTCCTGCAGCTCCCGCAGCTAAAAGA